ACCCAACCCAGCCATGTCCTTTCTTACAATCTGAAGAATGATTAAATGTAGTAGGTCTACTATTATGTGTTAGTTTAGCCCTACTGACATTAATTCCAAACTGACATCAAAAGAAACTGGTTGAGTGATGACAAAATGAATTGTTCTTCCTTTTGACAGATAAGTTGAGCAGATTGTGGTTTTGCAGATTGATGGTTACCCTAAACAAAAAAACTGACACTAAATATTAAAATACAATATTGGCCCTCATTGGGATGTAAATGATCTGCTGATTAAATGTTAAACCACAGACAATTGTTTGACTAATGGTTTTGGTTTAAAAAAAAAGGTAATTTAATTTAATATAATTTTCAATAAACAGGTTTTAGGCAAGTTTATCATTGAAGTTGAAGAATGTTTTTGAATAGGCAGTTGGTTCTGCTAGGTAGGCCTAAAAAAATAGCTAAAAACAGTGGTGTCTGGAAATCCCTCATGGAGATTAGACAGGATATGATGGACAGCAGAGGCTTTTCAGTTCTGCTGAGGTACACTGAGCTAAAGGGAGCCCTGATCATCTTTATGTTAGTTTAAATCTGCACTAGTAAAGCACCTTAGCACATCCTGAGTAACTGATAAAAGGTAGTTTGTTATATGTTGCCAGTCAGTGGTTTAACTTAATCCATTGAAGATAAAGATTTATTCAAAAACTAAATCACCCATGTGAAAAAGGAATTGCCCCTAAACCTAACTGGTTGTGCCACCCTTGGCAGTAACAACTGCAGTCAAACATTTGCGATAACTTGCGATGGGTCTTCGCCATCACTGTGGAGGAATTTTGGTCCAGTCTTCTTTACAGCGTTGTTTTAATTCAGCTACACTGGAGGGCTTTCAGCATGAACTGCCCGTTTGAGATCTTACTACAGTGTCTTAATGGGATTCAAGTCAGTATTTGGTTCAGCCACTCCAAAACCTTAATTTTGTTTCTTTTGAGCCATTCAGAGGTGGACTTGCTTGTGTGGTACACACTTTTTGATTTAAATACCTAAATGTTTGAATTTTACAATATACATATAAAAAGTAAGCTGTCAATATGAATTCCAGGCATATCTTCATATCTATCTAAAATAGAGAGAATTTTTAATTTAGTCCTAATAGACCTAATGAAGCTGAAAAATGCAAACTTGTTGGGTTTTGAACATGCAGTTGTGTTTTTATTGTATTGTAGTTGGTTCTGTACCGCACTGCCATCTTTATTTGCACTGTTTATTGTAAGATTATCACCAATATATAAGACTAATTTGTTTTTTTAAATGCTTTAGTTCTCATAGCATGGTTTTGTGTTCATAGTATTCGTTATTTTAATGCCTTCACTGTTATTCAAAAATGTGGAAAATAGTGAAAATGAAGGCCTTTCTATGACTTGCTGTGTCTGACTTCTGTCTGGTGCTGTATATGGGGCTACTACGCAGTAATAATTACAATCAAAATATAACAATTTAACTGACAAATTTTCATTCTCCTCATTTTATAGGTGAAAGAAAAACATATACAGTGTGAATTTAAATACTACAAACTATTCCCCAAAATGTATTATTAGTTGTTTTATTCAATATTTTAATAATTCTGTGACCAAGAAGTTAATTAATGACTGTAAAAACTGTAACTGTGTTTACAGTATTTTTTGTAGTGTGATCGGCCTTGATCTCCACTTTTGAAATATAATAAATTCAAGATATTAAATTTATTGTCACGTGATTCTCAGTGTTATACAGATTTGTCAGTCATTTTATGGTCTTTCATGGCTTCTTTAAACAAACACATCTAAAATTTCATTTTTATTTAGTTTAACATAAAAAATAATATAACACAGTTACAAGCAGTTTAACGGGTGGTTTTCAACTCAAATAAAAAATTTGAATGAAATGCTTCAAAGAAACGTTTTTATTTAGAAGAAGAAAAGCAATATTTTATGTTAATTCAGGCCTCAGAAACACAATCACTTTTATTGAAGACTCTGATTCCAACCTTTGAACAGTACTGTTCAAAAGTTGGGAATCAGAGTTTTCAGTAAGTGATTTAGTTTATGTTCTCCCTCTAAGAGCTACTTTACACATTGCATTAACATGGGTTTCAATATCCTGATCATACCTAGACGTTCCTTGGATGTAGGTATGCTGAATTCCAAGGATTTCACTACAAAGCGTCCCCGGTGTGACCAGATTAGATCCGATTTGACTTTTCCGCTTAAAGCACGTCACTCCATTTTACTTCTACTTACTTTTTCCCTGATACGAATCGTCAAGCTTGGACTGCCTTTCTCTGCCCAGAATGCACGAACGCACTTGGTTTTGGGAATAACTTCAGCCTCACGTATCTTCCATCTTGCGTTTCCTGCTAGTCAGCACTTGGCAGATGCTTACATAGTTGTATATGCGTAGAGAAAACACATTCCATTTAGAATTACGCTGAATGTGATGAAGACCCTTCTCTGGCCACCTCTGAATGGGGTTTGGGTGATCCAATCGTCATCTGATCGCAGTGCGTCCTTGGTTTGTTTACACCTGGATTTTCATGCAATCATGCAATTTTCCGAATGTGATCTGATCACTGAAAATGAATGTAGATGCAACGTCTAAACAGCCTTACAGTCACCTATTGGTGTGATTTTTGGCTGCCGTTATACTGTGTACTTCTCACTGCTGTCAGCTTCGTTAGTAGATTACATTTTGAACGCTGAGCAAAGTGTTTGCACTTGGGTGATGTTTTTGCTTCTTTACACTGTTTGTGCTACAGTTAAATGATTTGTACCTCTGAGTATTTAAGTTTAAGGTATTTTATACAAACACTGGGATAACTGTATGTGCTTCATCTCAGACGTGTTTGTGGACATAAAATACACACCCACACGAACACTCGTACGCACAAACTCTCGGCCACAGGCCCGGAACCGCAGCGGAAGGCTTTTCCTGCATGTCTGCTCTTGTGAGCCGCATGTTTTGCAGAATCCCTATCTCAAGGCGTTGAAGTGATCAGACACGCCAGAGATTTGGGCTGCACAAGACAGAGAGAGAGAGATTTCGCTTTCGATTATATTCATGTTAAAATGAGCATTGGCTCAGTGTACACCCTACATAAACTTTTTAACGTAGCCCTCTCAGAGTAAGTGCCTCTCTGAGTTGACATTTACATATTTTCATTCTGAGTTTTGCACACAATAAGCTTCAGTTTTCTTTTTAAACCTCAGCTTTAATAAAAAGCAAAATGCGTCATGCGCATTTACTTAACGGCTCCATGAAATGTAATTAAACTGTCTGCTGTAAGAGCAGAAAGGTCACCAAGTGTTTCTCATCACGATGTACACCCAGAGGTTTTACTTAGTAAAAGTCTGTTCGTGATTTTGTGTGTATTTCTCTTTTGTTCTTCAGCTTCTGGAAGGCAAAGGTATCCCACCTACTAAATAGGCTTGTTTTAATAATAAACTTCTAAGATAAATCTTTTCTCAGGGCTTTTACTTGTTCTTTTGAATAATTACAGCTTATACAGAGTATATATAACTTTTTATTTGTCTTTTCATGTAAACTTGAATTAAAAAGTGAATTCCACTTTTTTTTTCCTTCAGATTTTCAAAAATTCAGTCATCGAGATGTTGAAAGTCATTCAGGGTGGTTTGAAATGCTTTTTGTAGAGAAACTAACTGAGTTTGATTTCTTCACAGTGGTAATGATGGGAACCAGGAGTCATGATATCTACAACACAAATACAGCCATTTTATTTTACTGTCCAAAACCACCAGTGAGCCTAAATGAGCCTTCTAAGCTTATATGTAATGTTGATAGTGGTAGAACAGCAGTAAATCTGAAAAAAGAAGTTTTGCATTAAAACACCTGTATGTGCCCCTCTGCCCTGAGTAGATTTAAAAATACATATAAAAATATATTTTATGCCAAAAATATATCTAAAACTATGATAAAACAATATGTTGGACAACTTTCTGTGAGGGAGCTTTGAGACACATTAATTAATATAGACATCTAGTTCTTACCACCACTGTGAACCTGGAAAGCTTCTCTAAAATGGAGCACTTCACATCAAACCACTCTGAATGGCTTTGTTTACTTCTTAAACATTTAGTCATGCTGAAATCAGTTATAGTCTCCTTTACAGTAAATGTGAATGAGAAGTCATAACATATTTTCCTTCTATACTGTGACACATTTCCAGGTCTCTGAAGTAGCTTAGTGGTTTTGGTCTATGATATGTGGGGGTGGTGAAAGGGGGAGGTGTAACATGATTTTATTGGTTAATATTGGTTCCCCTCACCTGTTGTTGCACAGTGATGTAGCTGAAAATCAGATGGTTTAGAAGGGGGCAAGAGTCGTCACATTTTGATGGAAACTATGGAAAATTTGTCTGTGGGGAACCATGGGAATTTTGTCTTTTAAATGATGTATTAAATTGTTCTGTATATATGACCAAATACATGAATTAACCAGGTAAAAAAGGTCTATTTTGATGACAGACTGACTTTAAACTAGGGCTGAAAGATTAACTGTTTTTATATTGAAATCAAAATTTGAAAGAGTGCAATTTTTAAATCACAGGAGCTGCAGTTGTAATTGTAGCCTCAACAAGGTTGCTGTAAGTCAGTAAGTTGGATCAGTCTTAAGCAGCTGAACACCCTTGTGCTGTGTACATGACAACACAACCAAATTACAAGCAGTCTGGCACAATACATTCAGCATTCGTGCCTCAAACCAGAAGAAAATGGAGGTGGTGGTTTTCTTTGTCTAAAGAAAAAAACAGGTTTATCTATAATTTACAAAAATGATCACTATATAAACTGCAGTTACAGTATCAGTCAGAAAAACTACAGTTAAATACTTTCTCCAGATCGTTCAGCCCTACTTTAAACAGCACAATTACAACTGTATTACAGTTTAAGCTGTAAGGTGAATGACAGCATTTCTTTCGTCTAAGACAGGAGAAAATTTTACATTCAGACTTTTTTTGTTTCTTTACAGAATGGAACGAAAAAGTCCTGGGATTTCATGCGAACTCATGATAGGTGAGTATTCAGCTGGGGATTATGTTGCTCAGTCCAAAGATTTAGGGGATATACAGCCTTCTTATTCTAAACGTATGGCCCATTAGCATATTTCTGTCTTTCTTCATTACCTTTTAATCCTGTCCTTGAAGGCTCACCACATCAGTCACACAAGTGACTAAGCCCCACCTTTTCTCCAGGAGGCCCAGACTACATTTTTTGCAGGAACTAACGCAAAGGCTGTTTTTAGTGTTTTAGACCCGGAGAGCCAGCAGCAGTTTTAGACTTACGGTTAGGTTTACTTGGGTGAACTGTATTTGTAGCTGAGGTTATTAGCTAGCTAGCGTGCTAAGCCAGGGTATCTAACGTAATCATTAACTATTATTAACTTGGCTTGTAAATCATTATCAAAATACTACTCTTATATACAAAGGAATACCCCCTAAAATGAAGTGTGAAGACACATCGTGCACTGAATCCGCAAGTCTAGAACTGCTGGCTGTCCAGGTCTACAGATGGATGCATCTCACTGATGGCTTCTTACTCATCACAGTGTAGCATTTAGATAGATGTGTGCCAGTGAAAGTGCGTAATACTTAGGCCCAATCCCATTTCTTCCTTTTACCCCTACCCCTTGTTTTCGAGTGTCACCCTAACCCCTTGGAACTGAGTTACAAGGGGTAGTGGTTGAAATCTTGATCTACAAAATGGGACAATCCTCAAATTTAAAACATTGCTTCATTAATAGCCCAGTAGCGCTGCTCTGTAGGCGACCCGGCCCGTCTTCAGTGATAGCAGAGAAGGGAAAGGTTCAGCAACCTCACTGCTGGGTTTTAGTTACATTTAGCGCATCATATGCCTTCAAAGGGGGGGTATAAGACAATTATTTATTATTATTTATATATCCGAAGCTGAAGCCAGCTACTCACCAGCTTCTTGTTCGAATTTTCCCGTTCCACCTTAAATGGTGCAGCAGTTACATTCTGGCGCTACAGGCATCAATACTACTGGAGAATTTAAGGTTGAACGGGAAACTTAGCTAGCTAGTTATCGAGACATTAGCATGCTATTAGCAATTTTTTATGCTTGTTATGAAGAAAACGACCATAATACATTGAAACGACATTAAACTAAGATAATACAGTGGTTATCTTTTTTTTTTTAACAGAGAAAATTCTCACATTTGTGGGTTTCTTTGGTTGCTCGCGCAGCCATCTTGCCGGTTTTTATTTTTTTTCTCATAACACTGTTTGGAGTGTGCCTCTGAAAAACCTCCATTTGGAGGGCTAAGGGCTAAGTGGTAGGGGTGAGGGGTGAAATGGGATTGTGCCTTAAAATACATTCAGTAAGTGCTCAGTAAGCTTGTTTACTTCAGAGGGAATAAGATGCATCACTGGGGATAGTGCTGTGCAGTATTGATAAAATTGTATTGAATATCACAATATTTTCTAAATGTACCAAAGTACTGGACAATATTAAAGTCATCATTGACAAACTAAATAAGTCAGCATTAATAAAGCTTTGCGTATGAAGCTCACCCGCAAGGCCTCACTATGTCCAACACTGTGACCGTCTTTGGAGACTTTTAGTTGCTGGTGTTAGAGATGGGTGCTGTTAAGCAAATATATGGGCATCTGAACTCATCTTTGTATATCTTTATTTAATCAGATACTCAGATCAGCATGTGTAGTAGGCCTGGGCGATAGGGTGATGTAATCAGATTTCGTGGATGTAACCCTGTGTAAAAGACGATAGATGCCGTTTTGGTAAAAGAACTGAGAGAGAATTAGAGGTGACTGATTTATGATTAAACAGCTTGAAAAATACGCTGGGAAGCTGGGTGTGCAGGCTCGCGCACCAGTACTCAGTTTCTGCGAGAGAGAGAGAGAGTGAGGTTTGTTAAGAAACTGCTTGTGTTATTTCTCTCTGATATGCACTGTAATGCTAGCTTTACCACACAGATTTCCCTTAATTTACTTTACTTGATTGGAATACAAACGAATGCTGACAGGCTTTGGAACTTCAGCTCGCCTCTGAACTTGCAGCAGTAAAGAAGTGAGCTAAAACGACTGAAAGTTAGCGTAGAGCAGGTACGTTCCCTGATCTTTGTCTATGGCCAGTGTGCAATATTGTCTGTGCAGATGTTATCGATAATTGCAATCATTTTATTTTATTTTTTTACTAGAATTTATTGTGCTAATTATTTTCAGATATCACCAAGGCCTATTGTGTAGTAACTAAAAAAAAATCATGTTTTATTTTGTCATTTTTAAATCTGTTTTTGAGTGAGTTTTAAATGTAAAACAGCAAAGCAAACCCAGGACACAAGCAGCTGATACTGCATATATTGCAGAGCTGCAGGCTGTAATGATGTTTGTACAGTACATAGTCTTGTACATAGTGTTTCTTTCTTTGTCTGGCTGCAGGGCTAAATCAAGGCTTTTATGCAAACCCATGATAATACAACCTGGAGAGATAAGAGCTTGCAGGCCTGGAATCTCTCACCTCTGTGCTAGACGAGGAAGTTGGCTAGTGTACTAATGGTTAGAGCTACTGTTGAGTCCTCCAGACAGGCCACAGCGTTCAGTGGCAGTAAAACTGAGCTTCTGGTTCCCACAGAAAAGCCCACTCCGCCCGGCGCACCCACAGTGGCCCTTGGGCTATTGCACTTAAGAGCTGCCTCCAAGTGCTTCTAGAATTTTCCACTGAAGTCCCGAGATCATGCCTGACCGCTCATATGGGGTTCACTTAAGCTTTCTGAATGTCTTTAAGGGGGTTAAGCCCCTCTTTGGACAGTGTATATATCGGCGCTGATGGACGTGTTGTATTTTCATATGAAGCCGTCAGGAGATTTGATATTTTTCTCCCACAAACGGAAGCGGGAAATAAATGTTGAGAATTCTGTCATAGAAAGAGATTTATTACTCGCTCACATATGGCAAAATGAGGCCTGCAGTCTTCAGAGAGGAAACCATGGACCATGTCTTGTGAGAAGTAACCGAACCATATGAAACACAGCTTTGTGAGTGTAGCTGAAGTTTATGCAGTCAGTAGCATTTTGCATGGATATCAGTGACTTAGAAAGACTGTAAATAGCAACACACTTTCTATTATTATAACTGAGCACCTGTAAATGCCTGATCTAGGGTGCCTTTGTGCCTCTTTGTCTGTTACACTGATACAAGTTGAAATGCTTCACTTTGCCATTTGGCTGTTTGATGTGTTGTTTTGCTCGACTGTTTGGTCTGATGATGTATGAGTTTGTTTTAGTGGGTGTTGGATGTAAGTATGTGAGAGAGAGAGAGAGAGAGAGATTGGGGGGCGGGGGGGCTGCAGTTGAAAGGTAAAGCTATTAAGAGGAGCATCTGTTCAGGTCATTAGTGCCACTGCTGCAGTCCTTTGTGAGCACTCCGCTGGTCCTCTGGAGGTAAGAAGCACAGAGAATTGGTGTCAATTGTCTTTCATGAGGAGGACTTCAGCCTTAGGGGTGAGAAAAAGAGAGAATCCTCAGAACTGCTTGTGGATGTAAATGAAAGGGCACCAGCAGAATCAGGTGACTCTTCAAATGTGGGCTCAGACTGACACTCTGCCTCATCTAAAGTTGTACAATATGGCCCAAAATTTTATCACTACTGGATTTTACAGTATGATATGTTGTATAACATATTGTCCATTTCCTAATGTTCAGTTTTAAGTTTTGAACTCTGAAGAAAGCAGAAGACTTATGGCATAATCTGTAAAATTAATGATCAGGATGGACCATTAAAGAGAAAGTCTAACTAGAAAATTAAAATAAAAATATTGGGGTGGTCAAATAATTAAAAAAAATAATCATGATCACTCACATCCTTTTGTGCAGTTAATCATGAGCAATCATGTTTATCTAGTTTTTTTTTCATTTAAAAAGCAGTGCATAGCTATGTAAGTGGAAAAAATAAGCTTCATGAATCTAAACATGAAAATCACATGAATGCTGACGGTCAGTGAGAGAAACAGTGGCTGCATGTTCCAGCTCCTCTGCGACTCTTGCTCTCTCACTCACATACCACTGTTGCGTCTTGTTTGAAGGGCAGCTGGAGGTTTCCACTTTGCTGTTGCTTTTGTTAGTTTGCTATTCGTAGATTTATCAAATTCTCCCGCAAGCACCGTTAAGTGTTACTGACTCTGCTTTAGCAGTGTGTTTTGCTTTGTAAGCCATTTTTATGCGATAAACAAGTTTAAGAGTAGAGCTGCTACTCCTCCGCATTGACAGGAGCCAGTTGAGGTGGTTTGGGCATCTGATCCAGATGCCCTCTGGACGCCTCCCGGTGGGGGTGTACCAGGCACGGCCTACTGGGAGGAGACCCCAGGGTTGTCCTAGGACCCTCTGGGGGCATTATATCTCCAAGTTGGCCTGGGAACGGCTTGGATCCCCCGGAATGAGCTGGAGGAAGTAGCGAGGGACAGGGACGTCTGGGATTCTCTGCTCTCCCAACTGCTACCCTATCTGGATTAAGCGGTTAATGATGATGATGATGATGATAAAGTTGTGGCAGTAGCTTTAAAAAACTTTCATTTTCATTAAGAGAGCCGTTCAGTGGAGCTTGCCATTTCAGAGCTGTATTTGAATGAGAGGACTACAGTCACAGAGTCATAACAGCAGAGGAGCAGCTGTGTTTCCGGCTGGAACTATGGATGGTTCAAAGGGTCAAATTAGGCAAATGTGTTAAGTGTTAAAGTATTAGTGTATTAATGATTTATCGCCTTAACACGTTATTAACGTGATTAACTTTGACACCACTAAAAAATGAAATTTTAACTATTTATACTGGGCATTCACATTCAACATTCATCACCTTAAAAACTCTGTAACTTAAAAGAGGGACTCAAGAGATTGCTGTAGAGCCCATGTGTCAAACACAAGGCCTGCAGGCCAGATCAGGCCCCGCGACACAATCCTGTCTGGCCCGCAGAAATGTTTTAATTTTCTATTAATATTAGCCTGTTTCACAATGTGCTGCACTACAATCCCCAGCATGCAC